AAAAAAAGATGTTATGGCGAACGAAAACGACAAAAAAACTTGCCTTCACCGGTAAGTGTGGATGTTTCTCGTGCATGTATTGGAATACATCCTGAAAAGATAGTAAATAGCACACTTCACAACAGGATTTCAACTGATGTAAAGACGTACCGCCAGATAAGACGCTGCATTTTCGAGAATGCCAATCACGAAAACGGGCACTCCATTAGACTCCGCTAATCCTAATCGTATGAATTGTTTAGCGAACTCTATCCTGAAGATGCAAAGGTTAGCTTTTGTAAAAAGTGCTGAACTGTATCAGTTTTTGTCTGTGCCGCTCCCTAAAGCTATAATAATGTGTTCGCGCCCATTAGCTCATGAGAATAATCGTTCTGTCCAGCTATGGACTACAGACATTTGAGCCAACATGTATGAGAAAGGACTTTTCAAAACTGAAGTAGAAAAAACATCAACGATGCAAATATTACCTCTCCTCCGCATCAAAATGTTTCCGGATATTATTCCAATCTGTGCGCAAGATCGAGGCTCCACCGTTCGGATGTGTGTCAACGACGACAAACTTTCGAAACTGCAAGCAAATCTATGATCTTCAAAAATACATTGCTTCCTCCGATTAAAAAAAAAGATTTAGTCGCACGGAAGGATTTGATGCGTAAAGTGTAACAGTGTAACAGTCACCTTGTTTGAGATTCTAGGCAATTTGTCCTTCTTGTCGTGTTTCGACTCTTTACCCTCAGAATGCGAGTGCCCATTCTCCACCTTGCATTTCGCACCGCTCTCCGTAGCTCTGCTTTCTGCGTTACTGTTTTGGACAGCCGAGCTATTGCCATTTACGTGCAGCGCAGATGTGCTAGGCTGTACAGAATGCAACTGACTATCCTCGCTTTTTCCAACAGTCTTCTCCCTAAAATGAAATTTTTGACTTGGAACCAAGGTGAGTTTGCTAGAATTGCGATGCTCAGATATAAACCATCCTTCGAGAATGAACAAAATAAGTTGATAACTAGCAAAGAAACTTGTGCAGATTGTGTGGTAAGGAGTTAGATCGCTCAAGCATTGAGAGCATCGCGATTTAGTCACATGATTTGAAAACTTCCAGATGTCTTTGTATTTGCATGTACACAAAACACAAGCCAAAAGTGAGCATATTTAAGAGGTATTACTAACAAATTGTATTCTTACTAACAACTGTATTCTGTAAAATAATGTGCTTATGACGAAATTTTTAAATCGAGCACATACGCGCGCGGTATGCTACAAACCTTATCAAATCCCTATACAAAATGAAGAAAAACCAAAAAACGACGAAAAAGCGCAAACATCCAAAGTGAATGAAATGCTGAAACCTACTCCTTATTTTTGTGATGATGCTTCTTTGTTCCTTCCAAGTTTCGAGAAGCATTAGTTATGCTTGAATCCCGTTGTGGTGAAAACGACTTCGAATTCTGCTTCTCCGGCGTCTCATTCTAAAAGACAGGCGATGAATTAAGAAGAACAAGTTTACTAAAAGGAAGCAATAGAATGAGAATTTTAGAGTTCCTCACCTTCAATTTTGGCCGTTTTATTGCTGAGCTGATAGGGCTAGATGAAGTAGAGGGACGCTCGGAAGCCGCTTCCTTCTTTGGCGTCTTTGTATGCGCTGCTCGAGACTCCTTCGATGGCGTCAACTAAAAACCAGATGATAAGAAAAAAGACTAGTGACGACTCGGAATTATCTCACTTTGGCGGAAGACGACATGTTCTGCGGTTGAGGCTTTATGCGTTCTTGATTGCTCTCTTCTTTACTACCGTGCTGTTCTCCAACAAGTTCGCTTAACGTTGTTACTGTTGCGCTACTGCTTCGCTGCAGGTTTTTCACAGGCAAAACGCTACGACTCCTGACATCCATTTCGGCATCGACCGTTTTTTCTCTTCTTTCCCTACTTTCTACGACGGTAACATTTTCTGTTTGAAGCACTTCGGATTGCACCATATCCAGATATTGGCTCATTTCTTCCTTGCCGCTATTACCAAAGTTCCTGATTGTTTCTCTCTCCGCTGCCGCTGCTCCTATCTCCACTCCCGAGCTTAGGTCATCAGTCGACGTTCCGTCAACCTTATCTTGAAACACTTGAAATCCTGTTTCCTCCTCATGCGCACTCAGTTCTCTGGCGTTCATCTCCATGACAGATGTACTCCTAACATTTTCAACATTTGAAGCAGCGGAGAACGCAACAGATGTCCCATGTTCCGAGTCACTGTCAACTTCCATCGGTACAGCCTTTTCGAGGGCAATGCTCTCTCTTGAGGTATACAGGCAACCTTCAGACTCCTCAGTCTTTGGCTCAGCTTTTACGGTATCTCGGAGTGGCGCTAAGTCATCCTGATCTAACGTAGTCTGCTCGATTTCAAGTTTTACTGGTAGTTCGGATGGACGCTCAAGTTCGCTCGGAGCGGGAGTTGCAGGGGAAGGCTGAAAACGAATTCTAGCAGACAAACATAAAAACCATTTTTATAGAAAATATAACTGCAAAGTTCCTGGGTGAAAAAACAATACAAAATCGACATGAAAAAGCAAGAAAAGACTTAAAGTACCTCTCGCTTCAAAGGCACTGCATATTGCACTTCATCAACAGCGGAATCCTTCGCTGACTTGACATTCTGCTCCTTTGCCCTCTGAAGATATTAGTCACGATTTGAAGAAAAATCATACAAAACTAATCCGTGAACTCCTTCACCTCCACACGTTTCTTCGG